CTCAGCTCACCGCAACCTCTGTCTCCCAGGTTCAAGTGATTCTCCTGCCTCAGCCTCCCGAGTAGCTGGGATTACAGGCATGCACCACCATGCCCAGCTAATTTTGTATTTTTAGTAGAGACGGGGGTTTCACCATGTTGGTCAGGCTGGTCTCGAACTCCCGACCTCAGGTGATCCTCCCGCCTCGGCCTCCCAAAGTGCTGGGATTACAGGCGTGAACCACCACGCCCGGCCCTGCAGTGTTATTTCTATGAGAAGTGTGTTCCGCAGTCCAACCAGAGAGCAGCTCATGGTCCTGTTTCCACAAGGACAGGAGTGTGCCTGACCCCTTGGCCCCTGCAGGCCACGGTGTCCCACTGGAAAAATACACCCCAGTTCCTGACCGTGTACTTGCAGAAAACCTGAACCCAAGTGGGCTGTGGAGGAGCAGCCCTTCTTTCTGCCTTCCTTCCTGGGGTGCTCCTGGTCTCACAGGGGGCCCTCCACCATAAGTTGTGTCCGCCTGCCCTGCACCCACTTGTGCACAGGTGGAGGTGGATGGCAGCTTCAGCCTTGAGCCCCAAGGATGGAGTGGCTGGCTCTGCCCAGGGCTCTCTCCCTCCCCAGGCCTGCTGCCACCTGCTCCCTGGGGGTAGCAGCAGGGCTCTGTTCACATCCTCATCTGTGGGCCAGGCCTGCAGGGCACCAACATCAGATCCTGATAACTGGGGAGCTGCTGGCGCTTGCCTGGACGCAGGCTTGCTGGCTGCAGGCGGTTGGGCTGGAATTTAGGGGCAGAAACCTGCTGTTGTCTGCTTGTTGTTACATACAACCAGGGTGCGGAACTCAGAGATCATCAGTGCGAAAAGGGAGCAAAATGTTTCGTTTCCTTAGCAGAAATTTGCTTTCTCCCCAAATGATGCCCGGTCAAGCCATGCTGCTGGAGTGGTGGCTGAAGGAGCTTGTATCTCTGTGTGGTGTGGCAGGAGGGCACCCAGGGCCCATCCCTAGCTGCTTTCTCAGCATGGACTCTGCAGCAGGCAAAGGTCTTGCCCTGGGGCTCCCAGCAAGTGGTGTCAGGGCCATACCCAGCACCCTGAAAGAGGGCAGATGTATGCTGCTGGGGCCTTAGCCCCTGGGGCTTGCATGGTTTCCTCACCCTGTCCCCATGCTGCAGTGGAGGCCCCTGAACCTCATAACTGAGGCTCCAGGAGCTGGTGGCATCCCCAGAGCCCATGGCATCAGCAGAACCAGGGGAGCCACGGCTGGGTGTGGTGGCTCACACCTGTAAAGCCAGCACTTTGGGAGGTTGAGGTGGGCAGATCGCTTGAGGTCAGAAATTTGAGACCAGCCTGGGCAACACAGTGAAACCCCGTCTCTACTAAAAATACAAAAATTAGCCTTGCATGGTGTCACATGCCTGTAATCCCAGTTACTTGGGAGGCTGAGGCAGGAGAATCGCTTGAACCGGGGAGGCGGAGGTTGCAGTGAGCCGAGATTGCGCCATTGCACTCCAGCCTGGGAAACAGTGAGACTCCACCTCAAAAAAGAAAAAAGGAGGAACTAGAGGAGCTGGGATCATGGGCAGGGTTCCTGCTGGCCACGGAGGAGGGCACTGCTGTGCTGAGCCATGCAGGAGAGACAGACAGAGAGGCAGGGTGAGGGAGGGGCAGCAGTGGGTCCCAAGCCTGCCTTTGGATTCCTGGGGCAGCTTCAGTGGCACCAGCTTTATGGGGATCCTTAGGCCACTTTCTCTCCCAGGTCTCTGCTCGACTGAGAAGTGGGCACTCATTCACTCAGTGTGTAACTGACCACCTACTATGTACGTGGCCCTGGGGATGCAGGGCTGGCCAGGCAGAGGCCTGCCCTCAGGGAGCTGGCAGGCCAGTCTCACCCTTGTTCCTGCTTGACCACCACCTTGTCCAGCCTGCAGGACCCACATGCACAGAGAGGCCCCTGGAAGATAGGAGAGGTGAAGAGAGCTTATGGCAGGGCCCTGCCCGCGAGGACAGTGGTGGCCCCATTCTCAGGGAGGCACCAGGAAGATAGGGTTTACTTAGTCTCTGTTCTCCTGGCCTCCTGTCTGCGGCCCTCCCTGACTACCCATAGGAGGCCTGGTGCTTGCCCTGAGCTCTCTCAGTCCCTGGGCTGCCCACCTTTGCTGATAGGGTGTCATGACCTATCCTTGTGGATCGTGGTCCCCACCCCTGTGGGACTGTCATCTTTTCCAGGACAGGGCTGCAGGGCCTGAGTGGCCACATCTGTGTCTCCAGTGCTCAGCATGGTTGAACTG